TAGATATATATATATATATATATATATATATATAGTGTGTATATATATATATATATATATATATATATATATATATATATATATATATATATATATATATATATATATATATGACTCATGCTGAAATATTCATGTGAATAATAAAATTAGTGTTTCATGTCTACCAAGTCAATCTTATTGCCTTTTGAGTTGTATTCGGTTTTGGGTGAAATTTTAAGAAAAAAAATTAATGTAATTTTGTGAAATGTTGTTAACGATAGGATTAACGGTTATCCGGATGTTGTAAATACTCGGATCAAAATATTCCAATTGTGGTTTTGTGAGATTGATGTCGTGGGGGACAGCACACAATGGATAACGATTGCTGTGAAACACGAAAACACTGTAGCGACGTTATGGAAGGCAGGTTTCATAGGTAAACACCTATTTATCGAAATATACTATAATACTTCCATGGTACAATTTACTAATACACTAATATAGGCTCGTGTTACAATGACTTAATGAATAATCGGACTATTAAACAAACAAAGGAGCACACTACACATGTACACATTTAACGGCCTTGTTTCAAATCTCTTTTTTGTATATGGTGGCTCTGAAAAGAGCCGTTTGGTTTGACGATACAGTAGTTGATTAGATCTACTTGGACTTGGCCTGGGTCTTCTTTGGCAGAAGTACAGCCTGGATGTTTGGTAGTACACCTCCTTGTGCAATGGTCACACTTCCAAGAAGACGGTTCAACTCTTCATCGTTACGGATGGCAAGCTGAAGATGACGGGGGATGATTCTGCTCTTCTTGTTGTCACGGGCAGCGTTGCCAGCCAACTCCAAGATTTCCGCAGTCAAGTATTCGAGTACGGCAGCCATGTAGACTGGGGCACCAGCACCGACACGAGATGCATAGTTACCCTTTCGCAAAAATCGATGGACACGACCAACTGGGAACTGAAGTCCAGCACGGCTTGATCGGCTCTTGGCCTTTCCTTTTGCTTTTCCTCCTTTACCACGTCCAGACATATTGTACAGTACTTCGTTCTTCGGTAATAATACTAAATTCGAGAATGATACTTATCTAACGAACTGTTACGGTTATATAGCCTGCTCGAGGCTTGCGTTTGGCTTCAGCGCTCATTGCATTAACCAATCACAGACTGTCCCGCCATAGTCTCCTTGTGACTTAATCGACTGTTAATCCATTCTATTGTCCTATTTGGCGCAAATATTATTGGTAATCAGGATGGTAAAATTACAGGTTGCTATACCATGGCTATTCTAAATACAGTAACTTAAAAAGTCAATGAATTTTAATCATATACCGTTTGTGATAAAATACATATAAACTCGCCAAAAGACCAAATTGATTAATTCTTTTAACATTTGAATGTTTAATTGTTTTGGCTTAACACCGGCAGTATTAGTATATTTTTTATAACTTTTAGATTCTTCTAAAATGATCAATTCAATGCTTTAAATTAATTTATTTATTTGCAATATTGTTTTTTCTTTTGTATTTTGCAACAGAATATGCATAGGCATATCCTATCTCCGTAGAATAAAAGTCACCTAAATTATACACCGAATGGTTAGGATAAAACGAAGGTCGAAGATCCTATTGTTTCTCACTTATTTTAATAATATTATCTCTCGGCAAAAATTGAGTGTATCAGCAAATTAAATTTACTGTGTTATGGTTCTTCGTTTTATAGGCAACCAAAGTCAGGCAAGGTATGCTTTAAATGGAGCTATTATATACCATTTGACTCCTAATGTTATTGCAACTTTAAAACCAGCTAGATAAAACAGTAATGAGTAGTAATAGTAATGCAGAGCCTGTTACCGGTACTTATAAACTTACAATACAGATCTGTATAAAACAAAGAAACATTTTTCCCCTAATGGTCCTTATAGCTGGCCAACTAAAATATCGTGACAATTATTTAGTCATTTTGAAAATTCGAAATATTTTCATAAGGTAATTGAAGAAACATTCTTTACTTTGTGGATCCCTTCCCCACCCCCATTAAATATATACCGTTTTTATTAAGTGAAATACTTGATTTGACTTGAATCCCGACACGATGGCGTGCATTTCGATACTTGGAGTATGTATTATACTATCTTATCTGAGATTAATTAGCGGACCTTTCGGTTTTTGGGAAACACTTGACGTATGTAAAATACATGTTACGGAAGGTACCAAGCTTTGCCCATACTGTATACTAGTACAGTATGCACTTTCATTCACTAATAATGATTTCATTAATATATTATGCTTCTCTGGTTGAGATCTTATCTTTATTTATAAAAGATTTTTCATCAATCCTCTGTTGCAGTATTATGACCATATGTTACCCATGCTGCAAAAATTAACCAAAAGTAGCTTTGGCGTTTAAGGTAATGTGTACTTATATTTTAGTTATGAACATAGGAAATTATGATGTAGTGTATAACGAATGTATTTCGTTATCAGATTGGTATTTCATATGTTTAGAATATCTATACTATTAGGACTAGAAACAACACACTTTGACAATGCACACAAATCTCTTTTTAACTTTTGGTGGCTCTGAAAAGAGCCGTTTGGTTTGAGATTGCAGATCAAGTAGTTTACTTCGAGCTGGTGTATTTGGTGACAGCTTTGGTGCCTTCAGATACGGCATGTTTGGCCAATTCACCAGGCAGCAAGAGACGAACAGCGGTTTGGACTTCCCTGCTGGTGATGGTGGATTTCTTGTTGTAGTGAGCAAGACGAGATGCTTCACCGGCAATACGTTCAAAGATATCGTTGACGAAGCTGTTCATGATTCCCATGGCTCTGCTAGAGATACCAGTGTCTGGGTGAACTTGCTTCAACACCTTGTAGATGTAGATGCTGTAACTTTCCTTTCGCTTACGTCTTCTCTTCTTGTCGCCAGTTCTGACGGCTTTAGCCTTACCGGCTTTTTTGGCAGCTTTTCCTGAAGTTTTTGGAGGCATCTTCCCTATGTAGTCTACGAATAGATGAGTGTCAAACCAAAAAGCGAGCACTGTATTTATACAATCAAATATGCAAAGCAGGGCTTCCAGTCCCACGGTATCTTAAGGCTTCCTATTGGTTGTTGAAAGCGCGCGATTTATTAGATACTGTAAGCATTAAAAAAATCCTACTGTAGCGTGTCAACCAATTTTTCTTCTGCGGGTAAAAATGCGGGTAATGTAAATCACACGCGCCCAAAATTGTATACAGACAGTGAGATATTGAAATACACTATTGGCGCCTATGAGGTAGAAAAAAATCTGTTATAATGATCGAATCACCTAATCATCGTATGATGTACATTATCAATTGTTAGTATTCTGATACAGATATTTCGAAAACGCTTTTATCTAATTATTTAAATCACACAAAGTATGTACTAATAATAATACTGTAATAATAATAATATTTATTTGGAAAACGCTTCTGTTGAACAACGGCACACATCACATCAATGGTGTTATCCACAATAAAACCATAACAATAAAAATCATTTATTTAATAAGTGCCTAATGAGTCAAAATGTTAAAAATAATAAAACACTTCCAGTGAATGGAAGTGTTTATATCATTTGTAGTTATACACACTTTTTTAAACACTTTTTATTTTCAAGGTGATTTTCATGTTACTTCAATATGATCAAGTAAATTTCAAAAATGATTTTTATATTTGTTAGTTTACATAGGACAATACATGTTTAAACATAGAAATCAGGCAATTTAGAAGACTACTAAATAATTTTTCTAAGCCTCTGAGTACATAAAAAACGGTTTATATTTTAATTAATACATGTTCAGCACTTCCAGAGAGGTGTATTTGATACAGCATGCAGAAACATGGATACACATGAGCTTTTAACGTAGGCCTATATTTAACTGACACGAAGATAATTTTTAGATACAGTAAACTAATTTATAAACTCCTCTTTACCCCAATATAAATATTTTAAATTAAATGTATTTAGGACAGCTATTAAATTAATAGGCCTACGTGATCCCAATAGAGTAGCACAAAATACGAGTTTGTATCTATATAATAATTGGATTTGGTTAGACCATGGAGGAATTAGTTTTTTAAATTTTACTAATTCACGGCTAAACCTTTTTAACACCACAAAGCATACAGTAGAGTACCGCATTGGCTATCAGGGCGAACAACCGGGACAAACGGCACTCTTCCAGTTATAACAGAGCTTTGTCATTACGGTCTAGCAGTAGAGAACATCCAACACTTAAAAAAATTATGGACCACGATTGCTCTCCTGTGTTCAGAGCATCACTATCTCTAGTGGGCATGCTTACTTTGGGATGTGATTACCAGAGCAAAACTGATTAAGTTTGTCGCTTGGTATATCGGGTCTTTGTTGCAAAAGGATAGAACAGAATTATGCTTTTGACTGACAACATAGGCCTATCTATACAGTAATAAAAATGTTATCTTGAATCGGGTGTGTATATGCTATTTTGCTTATATCAAGCTATATCATAATGATCAGAAATGTGCAGGGGTCTTTTCTATTTATGTATGTTTATGTAGTTTATTTTGAAAAAGTTAGACAAGACAAACATTGCTTTTCTCTCTTTCGAACAAGTTGTGGCTCTGAAAAGAGCCTTTTGGTTTGAGATAACTGATGACAGAGTTTATGCACGTTCACCACGGATACGGCGGGCCAGTTGGATGTCCTTTGGCATAATGGTTACACGTTTGGCGTGAATAGCGCACAAGTTGGTATCTTCGAAAAGACCGACCAAGTAAGCTTCGCTAGCCTCCTGAAGAGCCATGACGGCAGAACTCTGGAATCGGAGATCGGTTTTGAAGTCTTGGGCGATTTCTCGGACTAGACGTTGGAATGGGAGCTTGCGGATGAGAAGCTCGGTACTCTTCTGGTAACGACGGATCTCACGGAGAGCGACGGTTCCAGGTCTGTAACGATGAGGTTTCTTAACACCACCGGTGGCTGGAGCACTTTTACGTGCTGCCTTGGTGGCAAGTTGTTTTCGGGGAGCTTTTCCTCCGGTAGATTTACGAGCGGTTTGTTTAGTACGTGCCATCTCTAACTTAGTTCGGAAAGAGTGTTAGTGCTCTAAGAACTGAAATTCAAGACCATTTATAGTCACCGGTTTTCCATCTAAAGTCATAGACCCCTATGATTGGTTGAGGATGTGCTTTAGATGTGTATAAGAGACAGTATACCATTTGACTCCTAATGTTATTGCAACTTTAAAACCAGCTAGATAAAACAGTAATGAGTAGTAATAGTAATGCAGAGCCTGTTACCGGTACTCCTGTCTCTTATACACATCTAGATGTGTATAAGAGACAGGGTAAATACAGTGTTCGAATAAAGGACTAAATAAATACATCGTGTAGCTTAGCTCTCAACGAATGAGAATTTTACCTTTCTTTGATGATTTATATATGATTTAACAGTGTTAACGGCTACTTTGATTTATATATATATATATACATATAACAAATTAGCAAAACAAATAACTAAATAAAGCTAGTCACATAGGCCTATTACTATTTTATTGATATTGGTGTGACGATGTATTAAGCTCTATAATACAATGCAGTTATTTTAAATTTTTAGTGTGCAAAAATATAAGAATTACATACGAACATTTTGACCCTGAAATTGGGAAAATAATAACACTCTGGGCTAAGTACCGGGCGCCAGGTTTGGTGGGGGCGCTCAAATGGGAGAATGAGAGTCAAAAATAAGCACTTTTTAGAAAAACATGGTGAAATTGATGTATTTCGTCAGGCATGAATATTTTCCAGTTAAGATAAAAATTTGAATGTAGTTGTTTTTATTGGCAAATTTATAGAATGTGATTTCTTTTCAGTCAATTTCGACCGTTTTCTCTTTTTTTTAAATCCTATTCTGTAGCCTAATGACTACATGCCTAAAGCTCAACCTGCAATATCTCAGAGCCACGATAGGACAAGCGAGACTGTTGAGCGTAATGAAGCAGGCAGCATTTTTAACTTTAATCATGGTATTAACTTATTTCAGGGGTGTGCCAGCGGGTGGGGGGGGGCAAGGCTCCCCTTTCCGGGAGAGCTGCCCCCCCCCCCCTCCTCGTCGGGGAGAAAAAGCAATATTCGTCGGGGAGGGAAAAAATATTATATGTATTTTCTACATATTAGTAGACCTAGACTATTAAATCGATTAAATAAGCCTTTGAAACCCCTAAATTGGAAATATTTTCGGGGCTTCGCGCCCAGAACCATTTTCGAAACCTTTTAATCGACCACGCCCACTTTGCTTTCTTCGGGGGAAATAAATCTAACCCCTCGTCGGGGCATTGGCGCCTCGTTGGGGACTTACAAGACTTACTATAAGATAAATTTAGAGAATAAGAATACTAAGCTGTATGTGATGAATACAACAGCCTTACAAATTTGGATAATGGTAAAGTTGTACCGGTATAGAAAGTTTCCAACATCGTAATGCAGTTTCAATAGTAAGAAACAGCCCCCCCCCCC